CACCAACTGTGGATAGAATGGCGAACGCGCACAGTTGCTAGCTCTACGCAAGATATGGGAAACGATGTGCTCTTGCAAAAGTATAACGTAACTGATGCTGCATCAATGCAGTCAAAAGTGCATTGACTGTGAGTCTCACGTCGCCAAGCACTATCCAGCTTATCAGTCTGGTATAGTTAATAGTGAGCTGACGGAGAGTCAAGTGGCGCACATATCGGCACAGATCCAAGGGTCTGGTGCGGTTAAAAAGGGTACGTTAGATACAACAGCAACGATACCCGATTCCATGGCACGGTGCGATGTGTGATACGCATTAAACGAATCATAAAGAAGAAAAGGGCACGTCAAATAGAGTGACCTTTGGATCAGTCTCGGTCCAAGAGGACGGACCTACGTAAGAAATATTTCGAGGCCGTCGGAGACAAGGTGCCGGAAGGATCCTCGACGGGGGTCCTCCAGCATATCTTGGCATTTACCGAAGAGATAGTTAGCATTTTGGAGATGATGTGGGATCTTTTCCAGTCCAAACTTAAGGAAGGGAATATCCACGAGATAGGAGCACCAACTACAAAGGAAAAATTGGTGAACTGTTTATCTCCGTTTACAATGAACGATAATGTCTTGGACGATGACTAGGCAAAACTATCTGCTGCTCAAGACTGGTACGCCTTGAAAAGCAGTCCGTTTGAACCAAGTTCTGTGGAGCACCGTCATGTATTTTCGACAATAGTGACGAATCGTCTACCGGCCGATAGGGGTTTCCGAAACGATGTTGACTTTAAACCTGGCACCGAGTATTGTGTTAATAGGAAGTAGACATTGACGAAGAAGCAGATCGACAAAATCGACTAGCTCTTCTACAAGAGAGACAAGGCGGGACATTTACGTGAGAGTAAATCGTTTCACTGTAGCCCGAACTTATGTATGCTACATGAAACAGATAGCTGGCGCTTAGTTCATACTTACAATAAGTCGAGCACGACCACCATCTCAGCGCAGACACAGATCCCACGGAAAAATATGCTATTTATACTCAATGGGGAAGTTAACTATCTTTTACACATTGAATCTGGATGATGGATACTATCAGGTACTCATAAATGAGACGGATATCGCCACGACTGCAGATGACACTCCATGTTGTATGCTGTGGGAGTGGATAGTGATACAGCAAGGTTTGAAAGACGTACCAGCGACATTCAACCGGGTTTTCGCTTAGGTGATGTGTCCACACCGTGCCTAAGAGCTTCATTAATTGACGATGTGTTCGTTCATAGGAGGACCAAGGAAGGATTAAAGGCGATAAAGATGCACAAACGTCATTTGGACGTTGTTGCAGACTCTAGGCGACGGTCAATTTTACGTCAACTTGCAAAGGTGCATCATCGAGGTGCCAGAATATCTGTACTGAACTGCATTTCAATGTCTAAACTCCCGAATAAGGATGCAGAGTGGACTCGGTCTGAGTCTCAATTCGATGCTTTATCTTCAGTGAAGTTATCGCTTGTAAAGGATTTGGTCTTGGCTTTTCCAGATGTGTTCTATCCCTTGAATGTCGTCTGCGATACGATTAATCTCTCTATCGTCAGTGCACTTATGTAAGAAATATCATGAAGTTATCGACCGTGTCATCTGGTATCATTCACGAATTCTAAAAGCCGCGGAGATGAATTAACTCGTGAACTACAAGGAGCATTTTCCATAAAGTACGATCTTGTTAAGTTTCGGGTGCTCCTATTGGGGATTTTTTTTTCGTAATTTACACGGATCACGCATCACTGCGGACTGTGATTAACTCACCGCACTTATCACCAAAGATGACGAGGTGGCACACATTCTTATCAGAATTTTATTTTGAGTTGAATACAAGCCGAGGAAGTTGAATGCCTCGGCTGACGCGTTATCGAGCAGACCAGAATTTAGGGAACAACAACTTAAAGACATGTCTCAAACTTAGGAGTGAATTAAGTCGTCGATACTGGCAGCCCTACGGGTCGACCATGTGCAAAACACTCTAGCCTCTGATATATAGGAGTGCTACATGGAGGTCAACATTATATTGTGGTTAGAGATTACTTTTTGTTGAAGAAAGATAACTCTTACGTTGCATCTAAAAGCCAAGCTTAACCGCTTTAGATATAGTTATGGCATGTTATGTCTTCACCTATCACATTGTGATCCATTGAGAATCTATATCCCTATGAATAAGATCTCAGACGGAAGATTCTCTACGAGCATCACGATGCGCAATCAAGTGATCATCTAGGCCGTGAGAAGACATTCTTACAAGTGTCAGATAAGTTTTGGTGGCCTCACCTATACAGGTAGATAGCCAATTATATTCCACCATGCGAAAAGTTTCAGAACGTAAAGCCTGCACCTTCTGCTAGTGCGCCACTGAATCCACTACCGATTCCGAGTGATTATTAAAAGTTGGTAGGATTAAAATCTTTGTTTGGAATGACGCTTGACAATAAAGGTAGGACTGGTCTCATCGTATTTGTTATTATACTGAGCAAATGGTGCATTGAGCACCATGCAGCACCAAGATGCCAGGCGAGGAGGCAGATTTCTTGTCTTGTATCACGTGTATCAACTCACGGAAGGTCAAGTCCATATTTTTAAACCAGAATCTACGATTTATGTCAGGGGTGGCCCCACGCGCCTGAGCTGATAGGTATCAAGATTCACATGTCTACCGCCCATCACCTCTAACCCGATGGCCAGGTAGAAACTATTTGTCGTGTTGTGGAATACGTATCACGCACAATGAGGGATATATAGAAATGGAGCAGACAATTCCATTCGTGTAGTTTGCGATCAACAACCGCGCCGGTACGGGTGAAACGCAATTTTATGTCATTGGACTGCGCCATCCTCGGACGACAGTCTCATATGCGCGCAGCCCAAGTCTTGTTGGGGAGAGATCCTCACCACGCTCGGAGATCATACGGAATAGCGTAATGGTTTTGCCAATGTAATGGCAGAAAATCGCCATAGTGACCCTGCCAGTGTAGCAGTGGTCACGACATAATAAAGTGTCAGGTAGGAGTCACGACACATGTTATAAGCTCTCCACAGCAGTAACGACAGGTCATCATTAGCAGTAACGAGCCATGTCCGACCTCTTGGTGGTGTCTTTGTCGATCTCAACGCAAAGAGTGTCAGAGAGTCTCGACGCTTTGTCGATGATCGATTAGCCGTCACACATTAGGGTTGAGCGTAGTTATGGCAAACGAACAGGATAAGCAAAAGCAATATACATACCAAATGATTGCGGATATCATGGACACTCCAGATCAGGAGACGAAGTACTATAAAGCACTAACACTTTACCTGAAAATGCAGTTTCAGTACTATTTGGCGGTGCTACCAATCACGTTTAATCGGGACTTTTACTATTGCAGTGTAATTCGGAGACCTAAATTATGGGCTGTTCGTCCCACCATACATTTTTTTGGATTCAGAAGGTCTATTAACACGGTTTAAAACTATGTACAAGGTCTCTGGTAAATCCGGAGCCACAAGTTCAGACCCGGTTGATCGGGAGGTCGAATCGGGCTGGGCCTGTACATACCTGAAGACCCGTCCGGTGCGTATTCGAGTAGCTCGATGCAGGCGAACAGCACAGCGCCCATCATGGCAGAAGCTACTTTCCTGTGCTCTCTGGTTGCTATCGCGCGGAGTTGGCAGACGCACGATGTCCAAAAGCTCTGTGTGGTTCCTGCGAGGCCAAACACGGTGCCATTATAGACAGCGTCGTTCCTGTCAGTCCACAACTTTGTGTGACATATTGTCGCTAAAATGTGCCAAATACTTTTCCAGACTTGTTCGGCAACCCCTCGATCCTCCCAAAAGTGGTCTTCTAAAATTGCCTTTCTGTACGGCGGTACATAGTGTGCCCGTCTGCTTGCGCACGCGTTGAAAAATTGCTGAGTTTGCTGAATGGATGGACGCTCACCTGTCCAGTGACTGACTAATTTGGCCCATAGCACCTGAACGTACGGACACTTCCAGAATAAATGAGCCGGGGTCTCTGCGTTCCCCGGACAGCCCGGCCGCTTCCGGCATTCGTAGTTCTCGGATCTCCCAGCGTGGTGAAAGTTGAGTTGCCGAGTAGCGATACGGTACCCGGTCCAGACTTGGAAATCTATCAGACCGTGACAATGATCCCAGGCTTGTCTAGGTATTTGTTTGAGCGCTGCACATTGCCATTCATCCGTGATCGCTCGCGCTTTCAATCGGTCCAAGAAAGCTCCTAAAGGTCTGGCCAGCTCCTGTTTGTGAAACTCAAAAGCTTGCCTTTTGAGCGCAGCAAAGACGGACTCCTTTGACGTTGTGTCCGGGACCGACCACGGAAAGTGGTGTAGCTGGGGGTGCGCCTCAACGACGAAACCCCGTGCTTGTAATTCGTGTCCGATGCGCTGTTGGTCGTTTGGGCTGATAGTGTTTGATACCGGAAGAGGTCCCGTGCTGCGCCAGTGTAGGCCATCGTCCTGCCGTATCAGATTGACTTGCTCTGTTGGATCGTGTTCGGCATCCAGTGGTCTTCCCGCGATCACTCCCCCGCCCTGATAACTCCAACCATAAGGCGCTAGTCCCGTTGGAGCATGTCGAAGATGCAGATGAAGATACAGATGAAGATGTGTCCCCTGAATGAATCCTATGGGTATATCCGGTGAGGATAGCAGGAGAGCTGTAACCCACCGTCGTAATTTTGCCATCGAATGGGGTCGGGGTTGGTGGGTGGGCCTGGGTATTGTGATGACATATTCTGCAGGTCCTGTTCGTGAAATGCCCTGGCGTGCCAAAGTACAGACTGCTGTCCTGCCGTATGCGGGTCTGGTCATCATGTGGCCGCTCTGTTCTCGGATCCAGGGGTTCGCTGACCAGACGAACGTGTGCCAGAACCTTTGGATCACCTTTGGCATGGCACCCTCGCCGAGCACTCGTGTGGGAAATGCAGAGGAGCAGGAGATGACAAAATCGTCCTCCTCCCATCAATTGGCTGCCCTCTCCAGCAGAGGAGCTGACTGTGTGGCAACCCACCTGACGACCCGATCGGCCGAATCCGGTGTTGGAGCGAGCCATTCCCCCAACGTCTGCTGTAACTCCCGCACCGAAGTTCGGGTCAAGTTAGAAGCTTGCCGACGTCCTCCCAGCATTAAAGAAATCGTTTGTGCAGCCTCTTGGTTCAGTCCTCTGTAAGCCCACTGCCGCCAGGCAGTAAAGTACCTGTCCGAAGTTTGGGTGAGCCAGAGAAGCGCGTGCTTCGTTCGCTGGGTTTTGACAGCTACGAACATAGCAGCCAGACCGATGCCCCCGGCATTTTTCGGTGTGACGAGCAGAGAAGGATTGACTTTGTGACGGCTCCTATCCGTCGTTGTCGCGTGTGCCCATAGGAATTGCTTGTAGATATTATTCACCTCGTGCATTTCCCACTGCGGTATGTCAAAAACGCTCGCCGTAATTAGCAAGGGGGGAAGTGCAATGGAGTTTAGGATGAGAACTCGATTTTCCACACTTGTTGCCACCTGTGTGGCCGTGATGAGGCGAAGTTGGATCTTCTGGATCCTCAAGGCCCAATCCTTATTCACTAATTCCACGGCTCCGATCTCATAACCCATGTATCGGGTTGTGTCACCTGGCGGAACTACTGCAATGCCCTCGTACTGCTTTAGAATTACCGACCGGTTCAAAAACAGAATCTTGCTTTCGTCCGGCTGTACGTGCAGCCCCGATAGAGCCCCAAAGGCTTTGACGAGACGGATAGCACGCGGAAGCTGCTCATACTTTTCTAGGAATAGCGTTGAGTCGTCAACAAGGCAGAAAAAAAATGTCGTTGACCCGACAACCCTGGCGTCTGCAGCCTCCGGAGGGCTGATTCCTGCTTTAATGCGAGACTTAAAATCTTCACCACCGTCAGAAAGAGCGGGGGTGCCAGCGGGCATCCCTGCCGTATACCGGACCGCACCGGCACAGCTGAGGACTCGATCCCGTTCACAACAAAAAAAAACGGGCGTGCCTTGGTGGATGCGACGTATGAGGTCGACGAAGCGTGCGCCAAAACCGAAGAGATGCAAAGCCTCGTGCATGAACTCCCGGTCCACGGTATCGTAAGCCTTGCGAAAGTCTGAAAGTACGATACATCTGCTCTGGTCCGCTGGAATATCCTCGTTGTCATCTGCAGTTAGTAGCTGGGCCATCATCAGAATAACTGTGTTCATCATTCTTCGCATGTGTTCAAAACCCTGCTGCGAGTCGCTAATTAATCGAAATAGAGAATGTTGGAGCCGTGTAGCCAGTGCCTCCGCAAAAAGTTTGTAACTTGTTTGTAACAAGGAAATTGGACGGTAGTCCATGGCGTCGTCGGAGTCACCCTTTTTACGAAGAGGAATGATGTGTGCCTCGAGAAAAGAAGGAGGAAGTTCTGATCCTTCCAAAAAGTGGTTACCGATTGTGACCAGGGCCGGTGCTATAAGCACCACGGTATCCTTATAACAGTCATTATTGAGACTGTCTGGGCCGGCCGCTTTGTGGCGCATAAGCCCTGTGATTGCTAAAAGCACCTCTGCTTCCGTAATTGGTAGTAATTTGAGCTCATTATCCAGTGACGTTGCGCATTGGTCCGGTGGGATAGTAACAAATTGTCGTAGCTCCTCAGGTAGTTGTTGTCCCGGCGTAACAGGATGACTCCAATTCAATATATGCACCCACTCAGAGGCAAATTGGTCCGCCACCGATAGCCTTCGCGAAAACGTCCGACCGTAACGCGCTTTAAGCGATGTTGTGCGTTGGTCCCGTTCCCAATTGGCTACCCGCTTGTAGGACCACCTGAGACGGTCCGTCGTCCGCTTTAATGACTCACCAAGCCGTACCAAATGGGCCTCCCGCATCTCGTCAATATTCGCGGACACCCACTGGCGGCGTGTCAAAACTGCTGAAGGTTACGCTTTCGAATTTTAGCCACAAAACGGTTGTGTCGCTGCTTTTCCCGTTTTCGTAGAGCCTTTATACAGCTCGTGCTCCGTAGTAAAAGCTACCGCCGTGATTGAATAGACGGGTCTCTGCCCACACCAGCATTCGTCAAGTCCCGTATTAAGTCGGCTTGAACTCGGTCCGGCTGGTTGGATTGTATGGGATACGTAGCTCGAGGTCGTCGTGTTTTCGGGAGACCCAGCTGCCTCCCACGAAGTTGAAGAACGACCTGATCGTGGTCTGAATACTGCGACGGAGGAGATGTAGAGACCCAGAGGACATCTGATGTCCAGTCTTAAGGAACGTAGAACCTGTCGATCCGACTCGCCGTCGCAGCTGTCCAGTAGGTGTAGTGATGAGTTGTATCGAGCTCGTCATCGTCCGCGTGATCACAAAGAAGCCTAGCGTCAACCAAGCCTGTCGCCGATGCCAGTCCCTGTAGTGCGGGGCTTTCTGGACGGCTCGCTGTTTGAGGCCCTAATCGATCCAACTGCGGGCTCTGGACGCTATTAAAATCACCCACTAGGATGGTGCCACCTGTCGTCATGTTCCATTCACAAAGACTGGTAAAGTACTCCTCTCGCTCGGTTCGGATCGGTGGTGCGTATACATTAAGGATAGGTGTATCGTCAATCGTAACTCCGATCGCTCGTGACGTCCACCGGTCTTCATTCCAGGGGGCTGCTACAGATGCTGCAGTGGGTGTGAGCAAGATTGCCACTCCGCGATCTTTGGTGGACCCGATACTCCAGTAAGACATAGTCGCTTGCCCTGGGTCAAGGTGTTTGCCCCACAGCTTTCTCCAGTCATGTTGTAGTGCGCTCTCTTCCTCCGCGGTCGCCACGTGTGTTTCCTGAATACACCAGGCTAGTGGCCTACAGCGTACCGGCACTTGCCGCCAAGCCGCCATTAAAACTTGCCGTGTAGCTTTTGAAAATCCGAGTACGTTTTGGGTAATCAGCCGTTTATCGTACTATCGCCCCTGTGTTAGCCGTCGGTCGTCGGGGTGATGCTGTTCATTAGAGAGTTGCGCCCGTAGGCGTCAGCACTAGACAAATCCGCTCTGTAATACCGAGTGGAAAGGGGATCTCGTGGAGTGCCCTCAGTAACGATGAGTAGTGTTTTCCTCGGGGCGGGCCAGACCATCATGGAAAAAAACTTCGAGTGCTGCCCAATCAGCCATCTTGGAGGAGGAGCAGTAGGCCGCCTTGTACCCGGCGTTGGTTGCTATTAGCTGAAAGTGTGATCGGAATATATCCACCACATTAGTTGCCTGCGAAAAGCCTTTCCCCAATGCTGCGATCTCTTGGTCATAAAGTAGAGCACACAGCAAATGTTTGCTAAGCCGCGTTCGCCGTCTGGGATTGCATAGTTTGAGCACATCGTCCCCGGCGTAATTGAGGGCCTCCAGTTTTTTCAGTCATCGAGATTGTCCATTAGTGGCGACAGCATCGTGTGATCCGGTCTTCGCCGTGCATGGTCGAGCCATCCTCCACCCACAATGTTGTTTGCAGATCCATCAGTGTTTTGCTGTACCGTTCTAACGCATCCTCTACACAGTCACGTCTGCTCTCCGTCATCCATTGTGCGACGAACGAGTTAACAAGAATTTGCATAACTCTCCCGGAAAAACAAACATCTTCACCATCCACAGGAGGTGATCTGGTGCGAGTCGGGCGACCCGCTCCCACTCTGCTGTAGAGCTGTTGGCGTCTGGAAAAGGGAGTTTGGGGGGGGTTAGGCCATGACGGTTCCAGCAGCTCCCACGCAGCAGCTTAGTCGTCACGATCGATGCGTTCCCAGCCCGCATCATTTGTTAGCCATAACAACGGCATCGGCTCTGCGCGTCCCCGCTTGACAATATTATTATCTGCCCGGTGTGACGTGTTATCCTCCAGCACCTCTCCTTTCTCGAAAGAAGACTCATGTCCTCGTTTCCGGTCCAGCGGTGGTGCACTCCGTAATTGGCGCATAGGCGACGTGGCATGTGCTGGAAGTGCTAGTTGACGCTCCACTGTAGCAATCGCGCGGCTTTGTTCCTGCCGTATTGTGTCTGTCATCAGCGTCAGAACCGTGCTTGCACAGTCTGGATGGGAATCTACCTCAGAAGCTCGCTTCGGTGGAGATGGCTGTACGTCTGTGCCTTCTGCCATGACCTCGGTGGTATCATATTCATGGCTGTACGTCTGTGCCTTCTGCCATGACCTCAGTGGTATCATATTCAGGTATCATATTCATGTCCTTGCCGGTCTTGCTCCCTCGTCACTGGCGGCTTCTCCTCCATTCTAGAATCTAGTAGCCTGAAGGTGGTTCCTGAGTGCAGAAAGGCCGAATATTGCCTCCCGTGATACTTCAGCACGAGCGGTGGATTCGATGGTGAGTCTATCTTCGCGGCTACCACTTCATCCATACATTCCTCAACCGACTGCGAAAATTCCGCCGATGTTTCAACCACTCTATGGTGACCTGAGACTGTGGTCGGGACATACTTGACACACCTTCATCCTTGCGCTTCACCTTCGAGAAGCTGGATTACGTAGATGGGCCGTTACAGGAAGCTGAATGCCATGCCAACGGCATCACTGCCTCCCCAAATATCTGCAGGCACTATGTCCGTTCTAACCGACGAACTACTCGCATAATATTCAAGGTACCACCGTATTTGCGATGCTGTAGCAGTTCGTGTCATTCCCGTCCACCCCCTACCAACGTTTTCCAGTAGATGGACTCGGTGGTCGTGGGCAATCTGGTCTTCCAGATTTAATAAGCCTGTTAACTTTATTCCCTGTTTGAGGCATGCCGTGAGGAGCTCTAACGACCTTCCCGGGTCGTCTAAGCTGGTGTCCACTGCTTCCTGGGCTATCGCCATAGCAAGGCAGTTTCCGGTTGCTGGTGTGACCACTGTTCTGAGCCATCTCAGCCAGCGTTCCTGGGGGCTTAACTGACTGGACTCCGATCGGGAGTGTCACTGTTTGCTCCCTTTTCGTACCCTTGGCGAACTGATGAAATGATTTACGCTAGTTACGCTTTAGAGTCATAATGACCGGTACCGGTAAATCCGAGCGGGTCCCCGCTCCAGACAGACCGTTTTGCGTTGTGACTCCTCAGAGGTTATAGTGCCATGAGGAGAAAGTTTCTCCAATTTCTCAACCGCTTCGATCGCTACTGTATGATCATTCAACGGCTTTGATATACTCGTGCTCTTGCGCATAGACGTCGGTTCCTCTGCTTCCTGCTGCTGCTTCTCATCCACGTCCATTGCATTATAATCTCGTGCTATAGAGATAGGTTTAGACGGGACGGTGCGGAAAGCCTTGGGTTTTGAGCGGCCCTTCTTGGACAGGCGGGTTGACCAAGGTTGCTCCATCGGTTTGGGTATGTATGCTCGAATTTCTTCCCTTGCTCAGCTCGTGGCGCACTGCTGACTTCGTTAGAGGCGGGAGTCGCAGGCGCCGGTAATACTCCTGCTGTATCTCTATGCGACGGGGGCATGATGACAGCTTCAGCGACAGTTTCTGCTTCCTCCTAAAGCGATAATCGCCTTGCTGCCATAGTTTTAATTTCTTCGAGACTGGAAAACGATTTGGCTAGGTCCTCGAGCTCGAGCACATCTTTTTCTGTCACGACTAGTCCTCCAGGACCACGTAATAAGACATCCGTGAAGTTACACCGGGATATGGTGTGCCCTAAATTCCAACATTGCAGACATTGCAGCCGATGACCAACATTAGGGTGCTTAACAACAATCGTCGTTCCAAACCAGAGGAGTCGCACTACCCCATCTAGAAAAGTTGGACACCCCGCCAGCTTAATTGTCACCCTCCAGATAGTAGACGTACGTGATTATGGGGTTTTTGTGTCGAGGTCTTCCATCTCGAACTCCGTCGGAATTTTTGCCTTGAAAAATGCAGCAATCCTGCCGACGTCACTAAAGCGACCAAACTTTTGAAGGTGCACCGTTAGTTCAGCACGTCTCTCTTGAGGCTTGCCATTCAGCCCTTGCTGGCGTTGCCAGATTGAACCTTGCTTCGTGCGGTAGGCGTTTTGGAGTTGGTAAACTCCCAATTAAAAAGGCACTCGGACATCTTTGTGGCGAGCTGCCGTAGTTCTCGTAAGAAAAATAGAAGTGTATGGTCTTTGTCACGTGATCATACGCAATCGTCTTAGTCTGGCTCAGCATTATATGGAGGTCCGGAAGATTAATGCGCGCAAGCTTCGCAGATTCCAGGATTGCCTCTGTAATTGCCCTTGTAGTCCGCTGACTCAGCTTTATCCCTCGAGCGCGATCTAACTGCAAAATTAATTCTCCTTCGACTTGTGCTTGAATAGTGCTATACAATCTCAGCCGTTCCTCACTCTTCAGGACTTTCTGGATGAAGTCAGACATTCGCCTGCATGCTACTGTGCCTTCTACTAGTCCTGAAATGATTGCTTATTCATCATCAGTACCTTCACGTACTTGATGCTGCCCTGCCCGAGCTCCCTGCGCCGCGCAGATCGATCGAAAGCGCGTAATTTGGTCTTCTGTGAAAACAGAGGGGTCGAACATGAAGTCCTCAAAGCGTTGAGTCGGGATGCAGGTACGCGGCTGTTCCTGATTTGATGGTGGTGCTCCTGTATGAACCACTCGAGCCCACTGATTTAAAACCGGAGCTTGCGCCCACTTTTGTTGGCTTGAGAGACGCCGGATAATGTCTTTAGATGCCCACTTTGTCGTTAACAGTTCGTGCGTGATCGCCGTCGCCATCTTCTGCCAGTCTGAGAAGGTTTCTTGATTCCGGACGAATACTTGCTCAAATAGTCCCACTAAGGGTGAAGCTTCCTCTGCGTTCAATTTCGGAAATCGTTGCCTAGCCGCCGGCAAAACCTCCGTCTGGACCGGCACTGCATTGAAAGCTTTAGCAAATCATATTTTAATTGTGGTACGCCAAGCTTTTTCTTGGCCTACATTCGGTGACTCTGCCATGTCCTCAACCATCGTTCTAAACATCTCGGTTGATGATATAGATCGTTGACTTGGCTGCCGTCCTGGAGCGGCCGGCCGTGAATCTGCCATCCCTGAGCAATCCATACTTGGTGTAGCTTGGTCCTCACTTGTTTCCGCCATTTCGGGTCCCGCCCCCTCTTGGAATGGGCCATCAGGGCTCGTGAGGTCGGGCTTAGAGACTTCGACGATCCAATAGCCCCTGATTGCTCCGCAGAGAGCCGCTGTAACGCCGAAAGATCCTCTGCAGCCGTCACGTTTCTCCTTTCCCCCTCTTGAGTTGCTTCTTCGTCGTATTTGCCTGAATCCGGCTGCACAACACGCTGTTGGTGGATGGCTTCCCCGCGGGCGCCTGCTGGACATGAATCTGCCCCATACGACGACGATGCGGGTGGTGCCCTCGCTTCCAGTTCCTGTTCCCTCTCGGGAGAGGGCAAGGAAGGGGGCGACATCGCGCACTTGTCTGTCCCTTTGTTCGCCAACACGTGGCCTGTTTTTACTCCTCCGGGACCAGATGATCACTGCTCTGCAGACTGGGGAGTGTCGTCCCACCACATATGAAGACACACCCGTATGTGACCTGGGTTGAGTAAAACAATCCGAAAAATCACAAGACATCACATATCCGCTTGGGTCCAACGTGAGCGATCAAGTCTACGACCATGCGACGAAATACGGTTCCGTGGAGGAAACGGTGTCGATGGGACACTATCAGCCAATGATTGATCGCCTTCCGCCCTCTGTCTTGCAACCGAGGAGAAATGCATGTCGAATGCGCACCTCTCATCAAAATTTAAATCCAAACGATCGATCCAGATTTCTAACCGGTCGAACCCTTGACGCGCCTTCGTATGGACGTCGTGCAAAGTCATTTGCAAAACTTTACTATTAAGAGTCGCTATCCGCTTCTTAAGAGAAACGTCATGCGATTGCGTCTGTGTAACGGGGTGAATCGTTACATAACAATTTATAAGAAATTGTTAATAGAATATAACTATAAGAGTTATATTCTCAGAATATTGTCATAAGGACAAATATTCTGTAGCACTTACGAGTAGTTCCTTATAGGCCATTATATCAACCAACGAAGACGCGCCACGACAGACGCACGCAATGAGTGGTGAGCAGATAACTGATTTACACATTTGTATTTAGACATAGTTAGATGAAGATAAATAGTGATTTATTGCAGACATTAACTATTATAAATACAGTTCTACTTTTTACTCTAACCAAGTACTCGCTTCTTCCTACCGTCTTCCTCTGCACGTACCAGTGTACGTGAAGTTACGAGGCACCGCCTTATTCTGTCATCAGAATAAGTAGCTTGTACTGTCACCAGTACAAGCTTCAGGGTGCCCCGTTACACCTGGTAGCACTTCGTAGTCCGTCCAAGGACCGCGTTCCCATCCAACATTAATATGTTGGATGATGAAGATGACCAAAGCTTACACGCTACGCGTGACGGCTACTCCCATTTGAGCGATGTCGAATGGGATGCGGTTGAACGAATGGGTTCGACCATGGGCATCCATGCTGTTAGCGTCATGCTAGAGGCTCTCAATAGAGATGCCCAACATGCTAATAGCGCCAAGTTCATTCAAAATGAACTTGACGCAGAACGCGAGAAAGTAGCCTTGCTTCACCAACAAGGTTCTCAACAAGCAGAGTTGTTGAGAGAACAGGGTGCTCAACAGTTTGAACTGTTGAGACAGCAGCAGGCTGCTGCTGGCGGGTCGATGCATTCGCGTCGACCCGAGACTTTGAAGATTGACATCTCCAAGTATAGGGGGGTCGAAGAAGACTCCCTCTTGAGATGGTTCGTCGAATTGGATGACGCCATAAGGGCGCGTCGCATCGACGACGGGGATATGCAAGTTGCATTTGCCCAGTCAAATCTGGCAGGACGTGCCAAGACTTGGGCACTGGGGCTCAAGTTGCACGACCCATATGCGTTTGGGTCGTTGGAAGTCTTCAAGTCGCGGCTCAGACAAACGTTTGAACCGCCTAGAGCTGAGTTCAGAGCTCGAACCGAACTCTTGAAGCTCAAGCAGGGTAAGCGTGATGTACACGCTTACGCTCAACATATACGACATCTCACGAGTTGTATAAGTTCCAATCCGGTGGATGAACACACGTTGGTTTCGGTGTTCATGCAGGGTCTTGCGGATGGTCCCGTCAAGACTCACCTGTTCCGGCTTGAACTAGATTCACTAGAACAAGCCATTTCCATTGCGGAGCAGGAAGACTTCAGTCTGAGACAGGCTCGCGCCAGCTCGACATCATATCGTCAACCGAGACGATATGACAACGGAGGTCCAGAGCCGATGGAACTCTGTTATGTAGAGAGCGAGAAGGCTCGCTCTACAGGCTACAAGAAGTTGCAGAGATGCAACAGATGTCAAAAGACAGGACACTACGCTTACGAGTGTAGTGCCCCTCGTCCAGTGTCTCGCGACACTGGGCGTAGTGACCGTCCACCCATGAGAAAGGGGCAGGGACGAGGGTCCGCTGTTGGTGCAAAGACGCAACAACGGGATGGACCGTCAAAAAACGGACAGGATCAGTAGGTGCGGAGCACCCTACTGGTCCAGCAACGTCAAGAGAATTTGTAGGCCTCTTGATGAAGGTTGCTCCCAACACACAAACGTTATGCGTTGCTGCTCCAGGTAATGAGGTCTCACTCATTACCTTGAAACTCGAAGTGACGAATAAGTTGTCCCTTCGAGCTCTAGTCGATTGTGGGGCGTCCAGCAATTTTGTGCGACGACAATCGCTAGAAGATGGTCACTTTAAGTATGTTGAATGTGACACACCTCCTACGAGGATGACGGTACGTCTTGCGACAGGCGCATCCGTAACCGTCATGAAGCGTATAGTGAAGATCCACTATACGCTAGAAGATACCCGATATGACAATGACTTTATCGTATTGGATTTGGATGACAAATTTGATGTCATCCTTGGAATACCGTGGCTCAGAAGGTACGAACCACGGGTAAACTGGCAACATCGAACAGTAACGATGCCTCGCCGCTTGTTCATCAGATGGACATCCGATGAACGTTTTGGAGCGTCTACAAGCGTGTGGATGTACTACGAGTGAGTGCGATGGTCTCACTCGTGGTACGGTCGTTAGTACGACTGCACAAAACCTTAGTGTACCAAACGGTTACACCTCGGAGCAAAGTTCCGGCGGCTGTGAGGAAACACAGGCTGCGCCGAAGTTCCACCACTCGAATAAGTCGAGTGGACTGGGACAAAGATGTATCCCTAGCGGGGAACATCTAGAAGAGAAACAATCGATCGCTCAGGTTAAGCGAAACGATAATCCTAGATCGACTGGAGAGTCTTTCGTAGAGGATCTCGCTGTGGTTGCGCAACCCCAGCTAGAGGAAGTAAAGGGAATAAGTCCCAAGATTACAAATACGGCGGAAATAAGTTCCCCAAAATCCGCGGGAATAAGTCCCCGGGAAGCCGAAGGAATAAGTCCTTCGAAGCCTGAGGGAATAAGTCCCCAGGAAATGACAGAGACATTGAATGTCATAGTCAATAACGGATCAAGCGTAGGCGCTTATACACTTGATCTGATTGCGCCTCCGAAGTTGACTTCGGAGATCACTCAGTTGCCAACGCTCGAACATAAAAGATTCTTGCGTGATCTGCGTAGCGGCAAAGTCAAGCAGATCTGCATACTCGTCGCTGACGACGAGTGTGTAACCGACATAAGGTCAGCAACAGTGTTCACTGAGAACGAGAGAGTTATCAGTAGTTCATCTATGGACGAGAGTGTCCTAGATGAAAAGACACGAATTGAGCGATATGACTCCCAATCGTGGGAATCGCTCAAGAAAAATCCTCTCTATGAAGATTTGGTTGAATTGAAGGATGTATTCCCTGAAACTGTTCCGTGCGAATTACCGAAGGATAAAGGTATTCGACACGAGGTCGAGCTTAAACCAGGCTCGAAGTACTGTGTCATGAAGCAGTGGCCACTGCCTCGTGAACAAGTTCTTGCGATCGACAAGTTCTTTGCCGATCGTTTAGCAGCGGGCCATGTGAGGGAATCAACTTCCCCACATAGCTCTCCGACCTTCTGTGTGCGAAAGGCCACAGGAGGGTGGCGGATAGTGCATGCGCTCAACAAATTGAACGCTGCAACGGTACCGGCTCAGACGCCGATACCGAGGAAGGACGTAATCATTGATGGTATGTCAAAGAGTACCATCTTTTCGTCCATGGATTTGATGGACGGCTTCTATCAAATCCTTATGCGGGAACGGGATATACCCTATACTGCAGTTAGCACGCCTAGCGGCATGCTCTGGGAATGGCTAGTAATGCCACAAGGGCTTAGTAATGCCCCTGCCACGTTCTCGCGCCGAATTATTTCGATGACGTATTCATCCATAGTCGGGCTATGTATGGAAAGTCGGATGTTGAGGTTCACAGTAACCAAGTCCGACAGGTTCTTACAATCATGCGAAAGCATCAATTGTATGCCAATATCAAGAAGTGTATATTTGCAGCAAGCGAAATACCACTTCTTGGGTGCATCGTTGGTAAGAACGGCGTACGTCCTGATCCCGAAAAGATCAAGGCGATCACCGACTGGCCTGTGCCGGTTGATGTCAAAGGTCTTCGAAACTTCCTTGGGCTAGCGGCGTATTTGCACAAGTATTCACGCAATTACGCCGAGATGACTGTACACCTCTCTCGTTTGTTGAAAAAGAACGAGATGTGGTTATGGAACGCTGAATGTCAGCACTCCTTTGATGGTATCAAGCAGAGCTTGATACAATCCCCAGTCCGAGCAATAGCCGACCAGGAAAGGCCATTTCATGTGGTCTGTGATGCCAGTGATTTCGCAATCGGTTGTGCACTAATGCAATACGACCTTGAAGGCGTTGAACGCGCCGTCTGCTATCAGTCGCGTCAGCTGCAACCAGCTGAGCGGAACTATCTAGTGCATGACAAGGAACTCCTTGCCATGAAGTTTGCACTCGCGAAGTTCAGAGTCTATCTATTAGGAGATAGACCCTTCATTGTTCACACAGACCGTGCGTCATTACGCACGGCAGTAAACAGCCCGCACCTTTCACAACGAATGGCGCGGTGGTTTTCATTCTTTGCGGAATACAACTTTACGGTCGAGTACAAACCAGGACGACTTAATGTCGTCGCTGATGCACTCTCACGTCGTCCCGACTTTGAAACAGTCGCGAAACCCAACATTGAGACAGTCACTGTTGCGGTTATGACGTCCTCAGTCCCATCTACAACATTGTATGATGATGTGAGGCGGGCATACGCCCAAGATGGTGAGATTGTGAAGTTGTTGACACATCTCTCCCAACCATCTCGAGAATCGTTGAAACGATTATCGTCTGCGTATCGATATGCATCAGATCGATACACTACTCGCAACGGTGTACTGTATTATACAGCCGTTACTGGTGATACACCACGTGTTGTAATTCCAGATGATACTGATCTGCGATCGCGGATCATGTTCGAGTATCACGATGCTCCTATAGGAGGACATCGTGGCCGAGAGAAAACATATCTCACGGTAAGTAGAGACTTTTACTGGCCCCGCCAGTATCAGTTTGTGCGAAATTATGTTAGCGCATGCGAAGTCTGCCAACGAGTGAAGTCAAGTCCTTCACTGCGTGCACCTTTACAGACTCTACCAGTTCCGGCTGAGTGCTGGGAATCCATCTCAATGGATTTTGTCTTCGGGTTACCCAAAGACGCACGCGGGGATACGGGTATCTTGCATTTGTTGACAGATTCAGCAAAACGGTACACCTTGTGGCTGTACCAGAGACAATCACGGCAAGTGGCTGTGCTTGTGTCTTTATTGACACCATCTTCCGACTTCATGGGTTGCCCCGTGAACTCGTATCAGACAGAGATCCACGCTTCACTGCTGATTTCTGGCGTTCCGTGTCAAATCACTCGGAACGCGCTTGAAGATGTCGACATCTGATCATCCAGAGTCAGGTGGTCAGACGGAACGAGACAATCGTGCTCTTCCTAGAAGAGATACTTCAAGGATACGTACATTCCTTTAAGAGTTGGAGTGAGTTCTTGCCAATGGTAGAGTTTGCCATTAACAACTCGGTGCATGTTTCCACGACACATACACCGTTTTACGTGAATGGCTTGCGCCATCCGCGTGTACCCACCTTACTCGAGTGTAACTCTGGTTTTAAAGGGGGAGAGAATCGCTCAAGCAAAAACGATTTGGTTCACGCTCATCACGCTCTAACGAAGAGCTCATTGTATTTGATGGCCGATATCGACAACGTTGATATCGAAGAAGATAATTCCAGTAAGAGCGCGGAAGCCCTCACTGAAGAAACTATTGATGTTGCTGCAGTGCACTCACAGCGCACGAAGCTAACGAGTCATCAGATGAGTTCATACTGGCTCGTGAAACGGTAGTCCGTTTTGTGCAAGACTCCATCGTCGAAGCGGTGGATAAGCAAAAGCAAAACGCTGACAAGAATGGAAGGGCAAACACTCTTTTATTTAATAAAGGTGACTTAGTCCTACTGTCTACGGTTAATCTGCCGAAGCATGTAGTGACTAACTTGGGTAGCAGTAAACTACTACCCAAGTACATCGGCCCATTTCGTGTATTGCACCGCCTAGGCAATGCATACACGATCGAGTTACCACGTAAGATGCGAACGCATCCCACGTTTTACGTTGGTCGGCTTAAGCCGTACCATCAGTACGCTGCTTCTTCCGATGAAGAACGCCCTTGCGCTCAAGCATCTCGCAGAGAGCCTTGTGCTCCCGATGGTGGGCATCAACAAGGGTCTGAAGAGCAGTTATCTCATCCCGAGACCGATCAACAATCCCACGAGCTACCCTTAGCTCGTCACGAAGAGATGTCAGAGATCTCTCGTTCTCAAGCTGAGCAAAGGCAAACTCAGCTCGATGCTTCGAGGCAGTGTCCGCCATTTGGAGACGCCTATTCCGCTCATGTTCGAGATCGTCTCGTAACCCTTGCGTTACGCGATCAAAGAGCTCTCGGGAACACACCGATCCACATGATCGTGTGGAGAGCGTCTTTCCTCCTTCTCCACCTCCATTAGAGGACTCTCGCGGTGGCCAGCGCTATCTAGTTGAGCAGCTGTTGAACCACCGCGATGTGAACGGACGTCGGACGAGTTATCTCGTCCGGTGGCGCGGCTATCCCCCGTCCTGGGATTCTTGGGAGCCCCGCTCCCAACTGATGATCGACGTACTGGGTCTGGTTGAGCAGTACGACGCGGCACATCCTGTGCCGCAGAAGGACCGCCGGAGAAAGTCTTCCCGGCACGGTCGTAAAGAGATTTCAGGTTTTCAATCCCTTCGTACATTTCAGTAGAGACACGTACGCGCCACCACGGACTGGTAAGGAGGTAAGCCTCCTTAGGTGCTCGTGCAGAGTTGTTCACACAACATGGGCACGAGTCTCCCCAAGAGAGGCAGGGTAATCCTTTCTCCCTTGACAGACGATGCAGCTTGTAGCGTGCACCTGTCGGGGTTCGCTTTTCAAACTTATCACGAGCTTTGATAAGTTTGTCGTTCCAAGCGTCACGACCTACATCCTCAAGGTTATGGATGTAGGCGTTCCACGCCTGAAGTAGTGAGGGACCATCACGTTTGTGATTACCACTGTACCATCGATGTCTAAAGAAAGCATCGATGAAGAATTCATGTTCAGCGCGATAGTTTTTCGCGCTGGGGTCAAAGTGATGGATCCTTGACGAATCGAACAATCGTGTTCGATAACGATCACTCGTCGTCGCCGACAAGTGATCCATGACGGATTTTGGAGGCATCCATGCCTTCTTCTCAGGAGCGAGACGCAACACATTGCGGTCCCGCTCTTCCTGCGACGTGCCGACAGAAGTACTGGCACCTCGTTGCGAAGTGGTGTCCATAGGAGAACCGACACCACTATTAGCGCCCGAGTCTCGCGACCTCGAGCGCCTTCGCTTCGGCGATGGTTCATCTGATTCATCAGATGAACCAAAGATGCTGCGACGCAAAGCATCGTCCATGCCACGCTTGGCAGGCGGCTTAGATTCAATCGCCGTCGATACGGATCCGTCTTCCGTATCAGGAGAGTATGAGACACCGAGCTCATACTCTGTGAAGACATGAGTGTCTTCATGACGAGCGCCTGCACCGCCAGGTGACACAGGCCGAGTCGCTTCAGCAACCAATTGGACATCAGTTGCTGTTGTTTCTGCTTCGGCGTTCGCACAGAGACGGGCGGACGCGCTCTAGGTGGCCTTGCTCGCGCACCGCATGGGCTCGTTAGCCATGCGATGAACTGTTGGAAAGTGGACTCGGACCAACAAGTGCAAACCCCGTCCCAAATGATTCGGGACGAGTATCCATTTAGTCAACCAGTCACTAAAGTGACTGATGGTTAAGGGGGGTGATGTAACGGGGTGAATCGTTACATAACAATTTATAAGAAATTGTTAATAGAATATAACTATAAGAGTTATATTCTCAGAATATTGTCATAAGGACAAATATTCTGTAGCACTTACGAGTAGTTCCTTATAGGCCATTATATCAACCAACGAAGACGCGCCACGACAGACGCACGCAATGAGTGGTGAGCAGATAACTGATTTACACATTTGTATTTAGACATAGTTAGATGAAGATAAATAGTGATTTATTGCAGACATTAACTATTATAAATACAGTTCTACTTTTTACTCTAACCAAGTACTCGCTTCTTCCTACCGTCTTCCTCTGCACGTACCAGTGTACGTGAAGTTACGAGGCACCGCCTTATTCTGTCATCAGAATAAGTAGCTTGTACTGTCACCAGTACAAGCTTCAGGGTGCCCCGTTACAGTCTGAGCAATTGACAAACAGGCCGTGAGAACACGAGCATAGTAAATGTTACTTTGGGGCACGAGCGTCCCTTGTGGACGCTGATGGAAACGACGATTGCTTGTACGAAGGGTAATTCCCATCAATGAAGGCAGAAGAAGCTTTAGATCCTTGTCCATTTAAAAATATGCCATCAGATTTTGACGCTTAAATTCAGTTGACACGTTGCGTATCGACGTGCCAAGGCTGGTTGCCGCTTACGATTAGTCAAACCAGTTACACCCGCTCCGCAACGGGGCACCCTGAAGCTTGTACTGGTGACAGTACAAGCTACTTATTCTGATGACAGAATAAGGCGGTGCCTCGTAACTTCACGTACACTGGTACGTGCAGAGGAAGACGGTAGGAAGAAGCGAGTACTTGGTTAGAGTAAAAAGTAGAACTGTATTTATAATAGTTAATGTCTGCAATAAATCACTATTTATCTTCATCTAACTATGTCTAAATACAAATGTGTAAATCAGTTATCTGCTCACCACTCATTGCGTGCGTCTGTCGTGGCGCGTCTTCGTTGGTTGATATAATGGCCTATAAGGAACTACTCGTAAGTGCTACAGAATATTTGTCCTTATGACAATATTCTGAGAATATAACTCTTATAGTTATATTCTATTAACAATTTCTTATAAATTGTTATGTAACGATTCACCCCGTTACATCACCCCCCCTTAACCATCAGTCACTTTAGTGACTGGTTGACTAAATGGATACTCGTCCCGAATCATTTGGGACGGGGTTTGCACTTGTTGGTCCGAGTCCACTTTCCAACAGTTCATCGCATGGTTAACGAGCCCATGCGGTGCGCGAGCAAGGCCACCTAGAGCGCGTCCGCCCGTCTCTGTGCGAACGCCGAAGCAGAAACAACAGCAACTGATGTCTCATCGGTTGCTGAAGCGACTCAGCCTGTGTCACCTGGCGGTGCAGGCGCTCGTCATGAAGACACTCATGTCTTCACAGAGTATGAGCTCGGTGTCTCATAATCTCCCGATACGGAAGACGGATCCGTATCGACGGCGATTGAATCTAAGCCGCCTGCCAAGCGTGGCATGGACGATGCTTTGCGTCGCAGCATCTTTGGTTCATCTGATGAATCAGATGAACCATCGCCGAAGCGAAGGCGCTCGAGGTCGCGAGACTCGGGCGCTAATAGTGGTGTCGGTTCTCCTATGGACACCACTTCGCAACGAGGTGCCAGTACTTCTGTCGGCACGTCGCAGGAAGAGCGGGACCGCAATGTGTTGCGTCTCGCTCCTGAGAAGAAGGCATGGATGCCTCCAAAATCCGTCATGGATCACTTGTCGGCGACGACGAGTGATCGTTATCGAACACGATTGTTCGATTCGTCAAGGATCCATCACTTTGACCCCAGCGCGAAAAACTATCGCGCTGAACATGAATTCTTCATCGATGCTTTCTTTAGACATCGATGGTACAGTGGTAATCACAAACGTGATGGTCCCTCACTACTTCAGGCGTGGAACGCCTACATCCATAACCTTGAGGATGTAGGTCGTGACGCTTGGAACGACAAACTTATCAAAGCTCGTGATAAGTTTGAAAAGCGAACCCCGACAGGTGCACGCTACAAGCTGCATCGTCTGTCAAGGGAGAAAGGATTACCCTGCCTCTCTTGGGGAGACTCGTGCCCATGTTGTGTGAACAACTCTGCACGAGCACCTAAGGAGGCTTACCTCCTTACCAGTCCGTGGTGGCGCGTACGTGTCTCTACTGAAATGTACGAAGGGATTGAAAACCTGAAATCTCTTTACGACCGTGCCGGGAAGACTTTCTCCGGCGGTCCTTCTGCGGCACAGGATGTGCCGCGTCGTACTGCTCAACCAGACCCAGTACGTCGATCATCAGTTGGGAGCGGGGCTCCCAAGAATCCCAGGACGGGGGATAGCCGCGCCACCGGACGAGATAACTCGTCTGACGTCCGTTCACATCGCGGTGGTTCAACAGCTGCTCAACTAGATAGCGCTGGCCACCGCGAGAGTCCTCTAATGGAGGTGGAGAAGGAGGAAAGACGCTCTCCACACGATCATGTGGATCGGTGTGTTCCCGAGAGCTCTTTGATCGCGTAACGCAAGGGTTACGAGACGATCTCGAACATGAGCGGAATAGGCGTCTCCAAATGGCGGACACTGCCTCGAAGCATCGAGCTGAGTTTGCCTTTGCTCAGCTTGAGAACGAGAGATCTCTGACATCTCTTCGTGACGAGCTAAGGGTAGCTCGTGGGATTGTTGATCGGTCTCGGGATGAGATAACTGCTCTTCAGACCCTTGTTGATGCCCACCATCGGGAACACAAGGCTCTCTGCGAGATGCTTGAGCGCAAGGGCGTTCTTCATCGGAAGAAGCAGCGTACTGATGGTACGGCTTAAGCCGACCAACGTAAAACGTGGGATGCGTTCGCATCTTACGTGGTAACTCGATCGTGTATGCATTGCCTAGGCGGTGCAATACACGAAATGGGCCGATGTACTTGGGTAGTAGTTTACTGCTACCCAAGTTAGTCACTACATGCTTTGGTAGATTAACCGTAGACAGTAGGACTAAGTCACCTTTATTAAATAAAAGAGTGTTTGCCCTTCCATTCTTGTCAGCGTTTTGCTTTTGCTTATCCACCGCTTCGACGATGGAGTCTTGCACAAAACGGACTACCGTTTCACGAGCCAGTATGAACTCATCTGATGACTCGTTAGCTTCGTGCGCTGTGAGTGCACTGCAGCAACATCAATAGTTTCTTCAGTGAGGGCTTCCGCGCTCTTACTGGAATTATCTTCTTCGATATCAACGTTGTCGATATCGGCCATCAAATACAATGAGCTCTTCGTTAGAGCGTGATGAGCGTGAACCAAATCGTTTTTGCTTGAGCGATTCTCTCCCCCTTTAAAACCAGAGTTACACTCGAGTAAGGTGGGTACACGCGGATGGCGCAAGCCATTCACGTAAAACGGTGTATGTGTCGTGGAAACATGCACCGAGTTGTTAATGGCAAACTCTACCATTGGCAAGAACTCACTCCAACTCTTAAAGGAATGTACGTATCCTTGAAGTATCTCTTCTAGGAAGAGCACGATTGTCTCGTTCCGTCTGACCACCTGACTCTGGATGATCAGATGTCGACATCTTCAAGCGCGTTCCGAGTGATTTGACACGGAACGCCAGAAATCAGCAGTGAAGCGTGGATCTCTGTCTGATACGAGTTCACGGGGCAACCCATGAAGTCGGAAGATGGTGTCAATAAAGACACAAGCACAGCCACTTGCCGTGATTGTCTCTGGTACAGCCACAAGGTGTACCGTTTTGCTGAATCTGTCAACAAATGCAAGATACCCGTATCCCCGCGTGCGTCTTTGGGTAACCCGAAGACAAAATCCATTGAGATGGATTCCCAGCACTCAGCCGGAACTGGTAGAGTCTGTAAAGGTGCACGCAGTGAAGGACTTGACTTCACTCGTTGGCAGACTTCGCATGCGCTAACATAATTTCGCACAAACTGATACTGGCGGGGCCAGTAAAAGTCTCTACTTACCGTGAGATATGTTTTCTTCTCGGCCACGATGTCCTCCTATAGGAGCATCGTGATACTCGAACATGATCCGCGATCGCAGATCAGTATCATCTGGAATTACAACACGTGGTGTATCACCAGTAACGGCTGTATAATACAGTACACCGTTGCGAGTAGTGTATCGATCTGATGCATATCGATACGCAGACGATAATCGTTTCAACGATTCTCGAGATGGTTGGGAGAGATGTGTCAACAACTTCACAATCTCACCATCTTGGGCGTATGCCCGCCTCACATCATCATACAATGTTGTAGATGGGACTGAGGACGTCATAACCGCAACAGTGACTGTCTCAATGTTGGGTTTCGCGACTGTTTCAAAGTCGGGACGACGTGAGAGTGCATCAGCGACGACATTAAGTCGTCCTGGTTTGTACTCGACCGTAAAGTTGTATTCCGCAAAGAATGACAACCACCGCGCCATTCGTTGTGAAAGGTGCGGGCTGTTTACTGCCGTGCGTAATGACGCACGGTCTGTGTGAACAATGAAGGGTCTATCTCCTAATAGATAGACTCTGAACTTCGCGAGTGCAAACTTCATGGCAAGGAGTTCCTTGTCATGCACTAGATAGTTCCGCTCAGCTGGTTGCAGCTGACGCGACTGATAGCAGACGGCGCGTTCAACGCCTTCAAGGTCGTATTGCATTAGTGCACAACCGATTGCGAAATCACTGGCATCACAGACCACATGAAATGGCCTTTCCTGGTCGGCTATTGCTCGGACTGGGGATTGTATCAAGCTCTGCTTGATACCATCAAAGGAGTGCTGACATTCAGCGTTCCATAACCACATCTCGTTCTTTTTCAACAAACGAGAGAGGTGTACAGTCATCTCGGCGTAATTGCGTGAATACTTGTGCAAATACGCCGCTAGCCCAAGGAAGTTTCGAAGACCTTTGACATCAACCGGCACAGGCCAGTCGGTGATCGCCTTGATCTTTTCGGGATCAGGACGTACGCCGTTCTTACCAACGATGCACCCAAGAAGTGGTATTTCGCTTGCTGCAAATATACACTTCTTGATATTGGCATACAATTGATGCTTTCGCATGATTGTAAGAACCTGTCGGACTTGGTTACTGTGAACCTCAACATCCGACTTTCCATACATAGCCCGACTATGGATGAATACGTCATCGAAATAATTCGGCGCGAGAACGTGGCAGGGGCATTACTAAGCCCTTGTGGCATTACTAGCCATTCCCAGAGCATGCCGCTAGGCGTGCTAACTGCGGTATAGGGTATGTCCCGTTCTCGCATAAGGATTTGATAGAAGCCATACATCAAATCCATGGACGAAGAGATGGTACTCTTTGACATACCGTCAATGATTACGTCCTTCCTTGGTATCGGCGTCTGAGCCGGTACCGTTGCAGCATTCAACTTGTTGAATGCGTGCTCTATCCGCCACCCTCCTGTTGCTTTTCGCACACAGAAGGTCGGAGAGCTATGTGGGGAAGTTGATTCCCTCACATGGCCCGCAGCTAAACGATCGGCAAAGAACTTGTCGATAGCAAGTACTTGTTCACGAGGCAGTGGCCACTGCTTCATGACACAGTACTTCGAGCCTGGTTTAAGCTCGACCTCGTGTCGAATACCTTTATCCTTCGGTAATTCGCACGGAACAGTTTCAGGGAGCACATCCTTGAATTCAACCAAATCTTTACAGATAGGATTTGTCTTGAGCGATTCCCACGATTAAGAGTCATATCGCTCAGCTCGTGTCTTTTCATCTAGGACACTCTCGTCCATCGATGAACTACTGAGAACTCTCTCGTTCTCAGTAAGCATTGTTGCTGACCTTATGTCGGCTACAAACTCGTCGTCAGCGGCGAGTACGCAGATCTGCTTGACTTTGCCACTACGCAGATCACGCAAGAATCTTTTATGTTCGAGCGTTGGCAACTGAGTGATCTCCGAAGTCAACTTCGGAGGCGCAATCAGATCAAGTGTATAAGCGCCTACGCTTGATCCGTTATTGACTAGGACATTCAATGTCTCTGTCATTTCCTGGGGACTTATTCCCTCAGGCTTCGAAGGACTTATTCCTTCGGCTTCCCGGGGACTTATTCCCGCGGGTTTCGGGGAACTTATTTCCGCCGTATCTGTAATATCAGGACTTATTCCCTTAGCTTCCTCTAGCTGGGGTTGCGCAACCACAGCGAGATCCTCTACGAAAGACTCTCCAGTCGATCTAGGATTATCGTTTCGCTTAACCTGAGCGATCGATTGTTTCTCTTCTAGATGTTCCCCGCTAGGGATACATCTTTGTCCCAGTCCACTCGACTTATTCGAGTGGTGGAACTTCGGCGCAGCCTGTGTTTCCTCACAGCCGCCGGAACTTTGCTCCGAGGTGTAACCGTTTGGTACACTAAGGTTTTGTGCAGTCGTACTAACGACCGTACTACGAGTGAGACCATCGCACTCACTCGTAGTACATCCACACGCTTGTAGACGCTCCAAAACGTTCATCGGATGTCCATCTGATGAACAAGCGGCAGGCATCGTTACTGTTCGATGTTGCCAGTTTACCCGTGGTTCGTACCTTCTGAGCCACGGTATTCCAAGGATGACATCAAATTTGTCATCCAAATCCAATACGATAAAGTCATTGTCATATCGGGTATCTTCTAGCGTATAGTGGATCTTCACTATACGCTTCATGACGGTTACGGATGCGCCTGTCGCAAGACGTACCGTCATCCTCGTAGGAGGTGTGTCACATTCAACATACTTAAAGTGACCATCTTCTAGCGATTGTCGTCGCACAAAATTGCTGGACGCCCCACAATCGACTAGAGCTCGAAGGGACAACTTATTCGTCACTTCGAGTTTCAAGGTAATGAGTGAGATCTCATTACCTAGAGCAGCAACGCACAACGTTTGTGTGTTGGGAGCAACATTCGTCAAGAGGCCTGCAAATCCTCTTGACGTTGCTGGATCAGTAGGGTGCTCCGAACCTACTGATCCTGTCCGTTTTTTGACGGTCCATCCCGTTGTTGCGTCTTTGCACCAACAGCGGACCCGCGTCCCTGCCCCTTTTTCCATGGGTGGACGGTCATTACGCCCAGTGTTGCGAGGCACTGGACGAGGGGCACTACACTCGTAAGCGTAGTGTCCTGTCTTTTGACATCTGTTGCATCTCTGCAACTTCTTGTAGCCTGTAGAGCGAGCCTTCTCGCTCTCTACATAACAGAGTTCCATCGGCTCTGGACTTCCGCTGTCATATCGTCTCGGTTGAGGATATGATGTCGAGCTGGCGCGAGCCTGTCTCAGACTGAAGTCTTCCTGCTCCGCAATGGAAATGGCTTGTTCTAGTGAATCTAGTTCAAGTCGGAACAGGTGAGTCTTGACGGGACCATCTGCAATACCCTTCATGAACACCGAAACCAACGTGTGTTCATCCACCGGATTGGAACTCATACAACTCTTGAGATGTCGTATATGTTGCGCGTAAGCGTGCACATCACGCTTACCCTGCTTGAGATTCAAGAGTTCGGTTCGAGCTCTGAACTCAGCTCTAGGCGGTTCAAACGTTTGTCTGAGCCGCGACTTGAAGACTTCCAACGACCCAAACGCATATGGGTCGTGCAACTTGAGCCCCAGTGCCCAAGTCTTGGCACGTCCTGCCAGATTTGACTGGGCAAATGCAACTTGCATATCCCCGTAGTCGATGCGACGCGCCCTTATGGCGTCATCCAATTCGACGAACCATCTCAAGAGGGAGTCTTCTTCGACCCCCCTATACTTGGAGATGTCAATCTTCAAAGTCTCGGGTCGACGTGAAGGCATTGACCCACCAGC